CAAACATCCTTCCATCCCTAAACCTCCCTGTGGGTAGTTCTCTAAACTAGGATCCCTTTTGGCTTTGGGGTCCTTTTGAGGGTTTAGGGGTTTAGGGTTTAGGGTTTGGGGGTTTAGGGCTTAGGATTTGGGGGTTTATAGGATTTGGGGGTTTAGGGCTTCGGATTTGGGGGTTTAGGGTTGGGGGTTTGGGGTTTCGGGTTTAGGATTTGAGGGTTTAGGGTTTAGGGGTTTAGGGGTTTAGGGGTCTAGGGGTTTAGGGTTTAGGGTAATATAGCGGCCTTAGTAGATAGAATAGGGTTCTTTTGACGGGCTCGGATTCTTTTAGGGCCACTCTATGGGCTACTACAAGGTGTTTTGCAGGTGTGAGGGTTTAGGTTTAGGGCTTCGGTAGTGCGTGGGGTTTAGGGTTTTAAGCTTTAGGGTTTGGGCGTTTAGGGTTCTTCGGATTTTTGCGCTTACCTGCTCAGTGGAAACCCAGAAAATGTGACACCGCGGGAAAGGATAGCTTCGATCGCTCTCCATCATGTAGCCCTGCATGTGATGCCCTCAACCCTAAACCCTAAACCCTATAACAGTAAACCCTATAACCCTAAACCCTAAACCCTATAACCCTAAAGCCTAAACCCTCACGGCTTTCCCAAGGCCCCCTAGTGCAGATGCACGACCAGACCCCTGGCGAGTGCATTCTCATTCCGGACGGTCACTGGCCCACCTGGCTCGGTTAGGGGTTAGGGGTGAGGGGTTTGGGCTTAGGGGTTAGGGGTTGTGTGAAGTCGAGTTTAGGATTTAGGGTTTAGGAAAGTCGACAGGGTGAGGGCCCTAAGCCCTAAGACCTAAGCTCTAAACCTGAATCAAGGCAGGCCTCAGCTGAAACCTCAAGCCTATAAGGGGGAGCTCCAAACATTGACCCCCAACCCATACAAATCCCGACCTCACATTGAACCCATAATTACGAGATATAACAGTCAAAATAACATGCCCGTTGCAAGACCTCTACACCCAGCACTCTATGCCGTGATCTTGTTATTGTTGGGAGGCTCCATCGAACTTGGCCACGGGAGGCACTAAACCCTAAGCCCCAAACTTCAGGGTGCGGGGTGTAGGGTTTAGGGGTTTAGGGACCCTCATCTCCAACCCCTAAACCCCAAATCCTAGCCAGGCACTGCACTTACAACTCCACGGAGCACTTCACCTTCGGCGTGGGTGGCATGGGAAGGAGATATGAGAAAGTTAGGCTCCGGGTTACTTGGAGGTTCATGGGTAGTTCTAAGTGGGGTAAAAGGTCCCCTAACATGGGTTATAGCTACAGGCCTAAACCCTAACCCTAAACCCTAAACCCTAAACCCTAAACCCTAAACCCTAAACCCTAAACCCTAAACCCTAAACCCTACTTATAACTCCACTTATAACTACCCATGAACATCCAAGTAGGGTTGGAGGGTCCAGGGTTCGGATTGAGGATGTTGCATGGAGGTTTACAACTTGGGGTTTAGGGTTTAAACTTTGGGCTTAGGATTGAGGGTTTAGGGTTTAGGGCCTTTCTGGTTTGGATTTTGGTGTTTTGTGGGTTCATTTTTTTAGGCTTTTTAATGGGTGAGGGCATGTAGCGTTTTGCTTAGTGCATGGGGTTCGCATGCAGCGTCAAGCGCCAAGTAAAGCAGACAACAAAAATGCACGCGCAGACAGCAACACACACGTACGCATGCTTACACGCGCTGACATTTATGCTTACACCTTCCGCACCCGCGATCCAGTAACATGCCCAAACCAACCCTAAACCCTAAACCCTAAACCCTTCAGAGCAGCTTGAAGCACCTTGCAGCTCAAACTGCCGGAGGCCTCAGCTCTGAAATCCTCAAAGCCCTTTTGAGCCCTAAACCCGGCCTCGAAGTCTCTTGAAGAAACTTCCTAAGCCGTACGCTCTAAACCCTAAACCCTAAACCCCGAACCCTAAACCCTAAACCCCAAGCCCCTAAACCCTAAACCCTAAATTGCCCTAAACTCTAAACCCTCAACCCTAAACCCTAAACCCCGAACCCTAGGCGCCCGGCCTCTTGAGGAAAACCCCTAGCTGTTGGGCAGGATCGGCAGCGTCAGCGAGGCTTTGATCACCTCCACAATGTATACATATATATATATATATATAATATGTATGGGTTTAGGGTTTAGGGTTTAGGGTTTAGGGTGTATATATATATATATATACACGTACGGGTAGTTCTTTAAATTCAGGGGCCCTTTTGGGGTCCTTTTATAAGGGTGCCGTACTATATTTGGGAGCCAAAAGGCGGCCCTAATCTAGAGAACTACCCATATATATATATATATATATATGTAATATAAGCTTTCTTGTATGTACATGCGCAGAATTAGTATTTCAAAGGCAAGCAGTCATAGGCATGATGATTGTTATATGATATCATATCATGTTTTAGTCTGTTATATTATACTATACTATACTATACTTATACACACATACACACACACACATTACAAGGAGCGAGTAAATTTGTTGTTGGTTTGATTCGTTCTTGGGGCAAGCGGACTTACGAGTTCTCAAGCCCAGACCAGGGTTTAGGGTCTACCTTAAGAACCCAAAACCTACTTTTTTGTAGGGTCCCTATAAATCCAATATTAGGGTTCATACTGTAATAAGAAGCTACAAAAAAGTGGGTTTTGGGTTCTTAAGGTAGGGTTTAGTCATCATTTGGTGACGTCTTTGTATTGAACGTTCGAGGCCAGGATTCACCCTTGAGGGCGTTTAGAGTTTAGGGTTGGGGCTTTTAGGGCTATAGGGTTTAGGTGTACTATAGGCCTTAATCCCCAATCATATAGAAAGGTCTACGGTTAGGGGTTTCTGGTATTTTTGTGCCATGATGTTTCGTAGTGCTTGTTTTGGTGCCTGTGCGTTTCGGCTCTCGTGTGCAGTTGCAGGGGGTCGGAGATTAGGGCTTGGCCTAGACTGATCGCGGGTCGAAGAGCTCTGCACTCCCCTAAACCCTACACCCTAAGCCCAGATTATGGCCGGTAGAAAACCCTCAACGGGTCTCTTTGACTCATAGCCTACATGGTCAAGTTCCTGCAGGCCAGCCCTGAACCCTAAACCCCCTTTTAAACATTAGATCTGAGTGCCTTTGCTTTGGGTGCCAGGCGCTTGCTGCTGAAGGCGACGTCGATGCTCTGCGCCAGGCGCAGCTAATCGGGCTCAAGAAGGATGTGATAGGGTTTAGGGTGACTGAAGGAGGCCTGAACAATTCGGAATAGTAGTCCCTTATATACAGCCACTATATAGCTATTTTACACAGAACATACCTCGAAGCCCTGGTCTGATTTTAAAGTTAAAGGCCCCTATGTCCGGGTCTAGGGTTGTTGTGCAAGGTTCGAGGATCGTTCAGTAGGGTTCCATGGATTGAACAGCACTGGGCACACAGTTCGATTGCCCAAATCCTAAACCCTAAACCCTAAACCCTAAACCCTAAACCCTGCATGCATTCCGTCAACAGGATCCCCAGAGCAAGCCTTCCACAATGGTGCTTTGCAAACTCTGGGTCAGAGAGAACATCACAGCAGGACGTGGAGTGGTCTCAACTTATTCACCATAAACCGTCTGCGGCCGAGCGACGTCGATGCAACACAAACATCACAAGACAGCCAGATTACGTACTAGGGCTTACATTCGGGTGTAAGGAAGATGTTTCGGGAATTTGGCCACTTGAGACGCCGTGGGCTTGGCTACTCGACGCCAAACCGCAAAATCATATGTCCTGAACTCAAATCCCTAGTCTCCAAAACGCGGACCCTAATCACCCACAGTTTTCTACAGTCGCGATAAATCGTTTCGACTAAAGCACTGAACCACTGTGAATTCTTCCCAGACCTGGAACTTCTCAACCCCTAAACCCAAACTCCTGAACCCTACTTGGAGGTTCATGGGCAGTTATAAGTGGGGATACAAGTGCCGTAATATGGTTTTTACTATAGTTACACTACTTATAATCCCACTTATAACTACCCGCGAACCTCCAAGTACACCAAAACACCTATCAACCACACACGGACAGTCCCCGGCCGAAGTGCTGCAAGCAGAAGCGCCGCAGCCGTCGCCCGAGATCCGGGGGAGCTTTGGTATGGCTTTGGGGTTTCATGGTGTTAGGGCTTTTAAGGTTTGGTACTTCAGGCTTCTCGGGTGTTTATCTAGGTTTGAGGATTTTAGGGTTAGGGTCTAGGCTGGGTTTAGGGTTTAGAAATTGGGGCTTGAAAGTTGAGGGAGCCTTTCAACAGAGGTACTTGGAGGTTCATGGGTAGTTACAAGTAGGGTTATAAGTCCCCTAATATCGGTTATAACTATATATAGTTACTCTACTTATAACCCCACTTATAACTACCCATGAACCTCCAAGTAGGTCAGTTTCTGCGGAGTTTTTTCAACCATGAAGTGCTGGGGCCCAGCAATCGAGCCCCGGAGGCTTCCATGCTGAGTGCTAGCGTGGATTAGGGTTTAGGGTTTAGGGTTTAGGGTTTAGGGTTTAGGAATTAAGGTTTAGGGTTTAGGGCTTATGGTTTAGAGGCCTTTTCTGTAGGGTTTAGGGCCGTTTAGTGTTAAGATGCTCACGATTATGAAAAGCATGCCTGACTTGATGACATTTTTACCACAGGATGCATCCCGGATAGCAAGAAGATTTTTCGGCGTAATTCTATGCAATTCCTAGCGGGAGTTAGGAACTCCAGCATCATATACTGTGGGAGCTTCAAGAACAATAGTATTTTCCTGTGTATGACCCTTAAGACTTAACTTAAGGAGCTGTTTCTACAGCACAGTAGGCTAAACTGGTTTCTGGCGCGTTTTATGTCAAGGCTTGGCGACTCTCACAACCCGAAACCAAATCCTAAACCCTAAACCCTAAACCCTAAACCCACAGGTACCATGAGACGTTCAATCCTAGACCGTACGCTTAATGCTTTGAAGAGGCTAGACCCGAAGTGCTAGTCCCTTAAGCACGAAACTCAAAACCCTAACCCTAAACCCTAAATAAGCCCATACGTATACTCTGTTTCGAACCCCGAACCCTGAACCTTAACCCGAAGTCTAAACCAAGAACCACTAAATCCACTAAATCCTGAAGCCTTCAAGCTTAAGCCCCCAAACAACCTGAGAGAGCCCTTGTAGAACCGTTGGAGGTTCCTTGGTCCATGGTAGTCATAAGACGTGCTGAAGTGCATCCCACCTTTGTAGCTCACGTCGCATGTACATGTGAA